TTTTTAGTATAAAAACTTTTTCATTAAAGTTGCCAATTTGTCAAAGTTTGTTACGGTACACCGGCTAATAACAAGTACTCAATATACGGTTAGATTTGTCTGTTAATACCCTATCGGGCTTTGTTGACTGTTTTGTTGCTCAAAGAATATTTTTAATTTTGTATAAGTAAAAACACTTTTGGTTAAATTTTTAATTACTTCAAAGTTTGTTACATCACAGCATCTCATAGCAAGCATCGCGAAGAATATTTAATACAGAGATCGATTCCTTTTTCGATTCCCTATCGATTATATATTTCAGTTTTGGTGCTCAAATAAGATTTTTAATTTTATGACAATTTTTCACAATTTTATAAATAAAGCAATACGTTTGGCACAGGGTATACAGAGGCGTCACGAGCAAAAAACTATTTCCCTCTCTTTCGCACAAAACGAATTCAATAATTTTTTTTAGCTGTATTTTATATACCTCTTCTCACCAAACAATTTCAAAATCAAACAAAAGCTGATTTTAGACTTTTTTAAATGTCAAAAGTGACACCTCTGTATACTTTGTGCGTTTGGTATGGTTTGTTTTCTTTTTGTTTACACTTTTTTTGTAATTTTCCACGTGCATACAGAAAAAATACTTTTTTGCAACTCTGAAAAAAAGTTAGTTAAAGTTGAAAAAAGTTTGTTTTCTTCATAGAGGTGTTTGAATTTTCTGAAAATAGAGTCCCTTTACGCAGCAAATACAGATTTGCCTTTTTTACCCGTTTTTTCGCCCTAAGGCTGGGATTTCTTAATATACAGTGTCTCACATAAATATTCCAATTTATTATTTTTTTATGAATTACTGTGTTATTTTATGATGCTACTTTAAAATACTATTATTATAGTATTTAAAATTATCAAAATCATATTTTATAATACTTTGCCTTTAGAATAGAAAAAAAAATCGTTAATATCGAAAATACCTTTGGTTAAGGAGAGAAAAAATCATTATTTACTATCGAAAGTACTCATTTTGCCTGTTTTTTACTCTTTTTGCCCCCTCCTAATCCAAGTTCTGAAAAAACATATAGCCTATAACACTCTCCAAGTATAAATCTAATTATGTTTCAAATTTGAAAACCGTTTAGGCGTGAAACGGCGAATTCATTTGAATTCGCCGTACCTACTTATGGTTTTTGACATCTACGTAAACCAAAATTGCAAAAACAAAATACATGTAAAATGTTGTTGTTGCAGAACTGCCATTGAATTCGAAAGATATTAAAATTTGTAAGGAAAATATATTCTGAATTGAATAATGTTTGTTTCAAACGAAAAATTCTATTCCGGCAGATTAATTTGCAAAATTTAAGTGAGTGCCTGAAGTTAAGTAAAACTTAATTTTTTGTGAAAAATAAACATAGAAAAGTACATATTCGTGAAAATATTATATTACGAATGAATGAATATTTGTTGCGAATGGATAATTCTACTCTGGCGGAGTAATTTTCAATATTTAACCATAATGTAGCAGCCGCCGGACGGGTAAATACCTCATATGGGTTTTGTTATATAAAGCGTTCCGGAACAGACTTTTTTTTAGTTAATCTCTGTGTATATATAAAACAATATTGTTTAATTTGTTAACATTTAATAGATTTCAAAATTAAGCCATAACGTAGAAGTCAGCTGCCGCCAGCCGGGTAAATACTTCATATGCGTTTCTTAATATTAAGTGTTCCGGAAGAGATTTTTTTAGTTAATCTACACAATTTTAATATAAAATAAAACAATATTGTGTAATATGTTAACATTTAATAGAAGAAAATATTTTTCTTAAATAACATATTTGTATACATACTAATTATGCCATTTTTTAAATAAAATGATATTTGTTTACGAGATGCTTGGAATTTTCAGATTTTTTACATAAATAATTTAAAATATTAACGAAATTTTTCTCCGTTTAACGGACATTTTTAAATATAAAAATGTAAACAATAACAAACTTTGACATCTACGTAAACCAGGCGAATTAAGAAAAAATTATCAGCTGATTGAATAACACCACCTTATATGAATTCGCCTTGCTCTATATATAAAAAATTTAATGAATTCGCCGCAAAATGAAAAGACTTCACCTAATAATCTATTCGCCTTGGAACAGACAAAGAGATTTATAATATATATTAGGATTAATTTTCATATAGCTTTGGATCTAATTATTCTAATTATGGATACTTTTTTAATTATTAGCACCAGGTCTTTCTATGACCTATCATATGATACTAATATTGTTAAAATTGAGCATACCGTTCCCAATATATTGAATTAAGTAGATAGTTTTTGAACTCCTTAATTAGAAGAGAGCAAACAAAAAATGGTATTGTAGTATTTGTGTCAAAAGCAATATTCCATTTAGGGTCGTTCCTTGACTTCATAATTTCAGATCCTTATTTTAATGTTATTTTAATGTTTTAAAAACTTTTCATGAAAGGCAATGTTTTCATTGATCCAAAACAAGAAATAAACAAATTAATTAATTTTTAATTACTTGATTTTTTTTAGAAAACAGTAACTAATATTATACCCCCTATTAAAATACTTCTAGCCGAATTTAAATATAAAAAGGGATCTGGTAAATTATATAAGTCTTATATCATTACGCGGTTCCATTAAAAATGTCTATTATTTGCAGAAAATGTAAAAATGGATCTGACTTTGGTGGGAAATGTATTGGTCATAAGAGAATCCCATTTTTATTGCTTCCTAAAGTATAATAGGTAATTTCAATAAATACAAAAGTGTGTACATATATTCAATATTAATTATAATATTATTTTTGTTTATTTCGTTGAAGGATTAATGCGTTCCAAAATATAACTCTTACAATTTGATGGATTGATCATAAAATTTATGAAGAACTACAAAAATATTTTAGAGTCCTACGTTTTACAATTTTTGGAAGTGTACCCATCAACAGTTGGAAGATTAATACAGATTGCCTGAAAATTATCTTATAAGGTTTAGATTACAATACTTTTACATTACAATACATTGCATTAATATCAGAGTTTCATTGTCTTTAATACAAAATCATATTTGTTGTCAAAATGTATTGAACAATTTTCATTCATGTATTATGAAACCTATTTTTTTGGTTTATTTTCAATTTCAAATTATTTATGAAGAAAATTATATTGAAAAATAAAGAAAATTAATTTACAAATTAAAATCTAAAAGAAAACTACATACAAATAAAAATTTTCTAAAAGCGTAATACATATCATCATACCCATCATACTCTGTGGGGGAGCCCGGATATTAATGACAGAGGTGAGTGTTTACTTCAATACCTTTTAACTACTAACCTAAGTGTTTGCAACGTTTTTCAATAGGATCAGGGAACAGGTCATTGATATTACTTTGGTTTTTGTCTATATTAGACAAATATTTATTATGCTAAACGTCAAATTGTTATCATGATAAAAAATTAGTGGGTACAGACGGAATTTATTAGCGTTATAACGTCGGTATGACAGTGTTGTCTAAACAATTGATTAAACAACGTTGTCTTGATAACAAACGTCATTTTATTGTCAAATTTGTTTAGAATTTGGTTTTTGTGCAATTAAAATTGATTTTTAACATATGTTTTAGGGAAATTAGTGTTTATTTACAAAATTTGCATTTAATTTGAATTGCTTTTATAAAATATAGCATTTGTTCAATAATCTGTGAGTTGTCGTGATAAAATCAGCATTTTGTTACCCCTATGCATTAACATAAAGAAAAAACTGAAAATTTTTTTGCCGACGTTTTGTCAAGTGCCGTGATAAATATTTGTCTAATATAGACACGGGGTAACCGATCATAAACCATTGACATACATTCTCGAATCGAAGACAGGCTCAGTTTACTAATGACATATTAGCGGTAAAGACAATGTTGTAGCTGACAGATTATCAAGATAAATTTACGGGTTTCTGAATGCATTGAATGTCAAAAATCCAAAATAAATAGATATACTAAATCACCTCATGTTGAAATTCCAATTCCTAAATGTAGATTTAAACATATCCATATGGATATTGTAGGACCATTATCAGTTTCAAGAAGTTATAAATATATTTTAACATGCATCGACAGAAGAAAGTGTTAAAACTTTTATTCAAAATAATATTTCTCGTTTTGGCATCCATTAAAAACAATTTACATCTAGTTTTTTTCGAATTTAGTAGACATACTTGTAGCCTCCGGTAGGTTAGTGGTTAGTGTTCTAGTCTGGTAGACCGGAGGTGGTGGGTTCGATTCCCACCTGAGACACTGGTTAAGGAGCGCACAACAGGCCCGATAGAGGCCTAGGTGTATTTCTTCGGATTTAATGTATATACATCCTCCTTTCAAACTAACTAACTAACTAGTAGACATACTTGGTATCAAAAAAATTTACATCTCTGCCTATCATCCACAAGCTAACGGAATCATAGAAAGATTCATTTTTCCTCTATTCGAACTGTTATTTCTCATCATAGAAACAGTCGTAGTTTAGAAAATAAAACTGAGTTCTTACTTCAGAAACTACGGAAACATTTTTCCTCTATTCGAACTGTTATTTCTCATCATTGAAACAGTCGCAGTTACATTCCTCCTTCTTTAATGAATTGTTCGTACGTTTTTGTAAAAGTCAATAAAAAAATTGGATTGCAATATCATTTTAAAGGTCCATATAAAGTCATAAGAAGAAACGATAAATTTTGTAAAATTCAGAAGGGCAATCTACATTGTCGGTTGCAATCGATCATTTGAAACCAGTTTTTATCGATGAATCAAAGTTAAATGAAGTACTACATAATACAAACAAATACTTTTAATCTAAACTAAAGTTACTTTATACCATATTTCCAAAGCTGACGGGGGAGTAGATGTAGAAACTTAACTTGTTTCTTAAAACACTTATTAATATATATAAAAACTTTTTCCTGTTATTGTTTGATTTGAAATATTTTACTTTTTCATTATAAATAATTTGCTTGATCAATAAACATAATTTTTATTAAAATATAAAAAATATAAATTAATTTAAAAATTGTTCCATCAACGGCTAAGCCGAAATTTTTCATGAGCCGACCATATGTTTTTGAAAGCTGAAAATAAAATAAAATTTAATCATAATTATAACTATTCAGTGTTATTTTTAAGATAAATTTCACAATATGACAGAGTACTGCTTTTGCGAAATTATTTCACAAATATTTCATACCAATTTTGAACAGAGTACCTACCCAGCAGTTCGGCGGGACAGTCCCGAACCAACCACTTATGGTAGCCCTAGTCACCCGACTGCCCAGGCACAAAGTATACAGAGGCGTCACGGCTAAAAAATATATTTGTCTCTTTCGCACGATACCATTTCAACTTGTTTCGTTTTCGTCTTATTTTTTGGGTTTCTTTTCAATTATCTTATTGGAGGTAAGTAAATTATTAGTTAATTGCTGTAAAAAATATAAAATAAAACATCATAATATGTATATTAGTGTAATGACTTTTTGCAATTTTTGCAAATATCAAAAAATACCATAGCAAGAGCTTGTAGGGCGTGAACAGATGAAGGAATATGATATTATTTTTTCGCGATCGTGAAAAAAGTTCCAAGTGTGCCCTCTTTCGTTTACTCGGGAGATAGTAATGACGACTGTCCACTCCCTGTGTACAATAAAGTGGCGACTGTCTTCGCATTCGATTACGAAGAATATTTTCGTGACAAATGACCAAAAACATTCAAATAGGGTACAACCAGCTGGTTAAACTTTAGTGATAAATAAGAATTGTGTCTCCAATAGATGTGTAAAATATCGACATTCTGAAGTACAATATGTCCCCTCACTCGTTTACATAGGGTACTGTCAACCATATGGTTACACATTAGTGTAAATGACTGGCTTTTACGTATGCATTCCCTATAAGAACAGTGGCAGTCATTTAACCGGTCATTTGACTGCCACAGTGATGAAAATGTTCATCAAAAGTTACTAATTATCTGCAAGGTATATTAATTATAAGGTAGTGTTAACAGAGCAGCTGATTGTTTTTTGCTAATACACTTTTGATTTTTTTATATGTAGTTTGACAGTGTTCTGGCACTTTGAAGTGTAGGCATGCTGTCAAACTCCGTATATAAAAAATAAAATGAATTCACTCCGTATTTCTGAATTCGCCGACGACACTACCTTATAATTAATATATCTTGATTATCTGTTTCTTAAAAAGTGATGGAAACTTTTGTGCACATGTGATTTTGCATCACCCTCGCACTTATGAATTCTATCGACTTTAACACATATATTTGAGTTGCTCACTCTTTTGATGTTTAGTAATCAAGGATGACATAAATATTAGTCACGATTGACTGATCATGCTTGATGGATATATCCATCACAGTGAACAAATAAGAACAAATTAATCGGTCATTGTTGACTAATCATACTTGATAAATATATCCGTCAAAACTGACGGCATAGACTACTCCAAGACTGGAATCAGCTGATTTTAGCAATATGGCGTAGGCAAACAAAAAAAATTTTCCGAAAGATCAACAAAAGAAAATGTATAATGAACCGCGGGAGATTTAAAAGAGGGACATATATATTTCCATCGCTCTTCACCTTACACTTAATTTTTTTCAAATGTAAAAAACAAATTGGATTACAGTCAAACCCATTTATAACTATTTCTTGCTCTTTACGAACTCATCTTAATTACCAGAATTTTGATACAAAAACATATTTTATAAAGAATTCTTGGTTAAAAGGAATTACTATTTAGTCCCATTACTATTTAGAACATTGAGGAATAATTAAAAAAAACTTTTAATTAGAATCTAAGCAAATATTTAATAAAATAAAGTTGTTTTCCTTTTAATCTTATTTTTTTTTTGCAATTCTTCTTCACATACAATTTCTTCAATGTTTACATTTTTTGCTGTTATTTTTCAAACGAACGATAAAAACAATCATACAGCTCATCTCACACATTCATCGATTTTTTAATCTTTTATCTTTTGCTCTAAAATTTTAACTAATGGCGGAATTCAAAAAATGGTAAAAAAAATTTAAAAAAAACCATTCGGTTCGAATTTACTTTTTTGACAGCTGTCAATGGTTCCTTATCTGGTTATCTGTGACTGACGGTTATATCAATTTATAATTAAAACACAATTTATTAATATTTTAAGATAAATATATTTTTATATTATTAATATAGTAAGCATATACATAAATTAACAATCATTTCACCATTTTACATACCTCGCAGAATCTTAAATCCTCCCTCTTTCGCTTCTTGATATTTGGCTTTCGCAGAAACAATGAATTTATAACGACGAAAAATACAACTCTGAAACACAGCGACAGTCATTTGGCTGTCATTGTAGATGAAAATAAAGATTTTAATATATATTAATCAAAATGTAGTTGTTTCACTCTTTCATATGCAAATGAAACCCTTTACCACACATTGGGTACATCAACAGTAATTTTACCGGTCATTTGATTGTCATTATTGATGGAATTATCCATTAACAATTTTTTTAGCAATTTTATAAAAAAATGTTGCAAGTGTGTTAGTAAAATCATTCTGTAGTATTAGTTTCGGTCATACATTTCTTGTAGGGTTGATTCAAGGCGAATTCAGATAAGGTGGTAAGGCTCAAGATATATTAATTATAAGGTAGTGTTATCAGAACAGCTGATCGTTTTTTGCTATTATGTTCATTTTTCGCCGTGGTGTATAATTAATGTCAAACTTTGTTTACATTTTGTAAATGTCAAACTTTGTTTTCATTTTGTTAATGTCAAGCTGGTTTCATTTTGTATATTAAATTTTGTGATTAAAGTGAAATTGTGTGATTAGGGTATATTTTTGTGTTTTTAATCTTTAAAAGTTAAAACATCAAAATAAATTATAAACAGATTCAAATTTATAAACATTTTTTGTTTAATTTAAATTCGCTTTGATTTATTTGTCAGCTGTTTTTGAAATTTTTCCTTTACAGCCAATTCGCCTTCAAGTGCAGGCACAATGTCAAACTACATATAAAAAAAATATAACCAATTCGCTTGGTATTCTGAATTCGCCGATGACACTACCTTATAAAATTAATATACCTTGGTAAGGCTGATAATTTTTTTCTTAATTCGCCTGGTTTACGTAGCTGTCAAAGTTTGCTATTGTTTACATTTTTATATTTAAAAACTTCCATTATACGGAGAAAAACTCCGTTAATATTTTGAATTACTTATGTAAAAAATCTAAAAATACCAAGCATCTCGGAAACAAATATCATTTTATTTAAATAATGGCATAATTGGTATGTATACAAATATGTTATTTAGGAAAAATATTTTTTTCTAACGTGATTAACTAAAAAAAATCTCTTCCGGAACACTTGATATAAAGAAACACATATGAAGAATTTAGCCGAACAGCGGCAGCTTACTTTTACATATGGCTTAATTTTGAAATCTATTAAATGTTAACAAATTAAACAATATTGTTTTATATATACACTATGTAGATAAAGAGATTAACTAAAAAAAGTCTGTTCCGGAACGCTTTATATAACAAAACCCATATGAGGTATTTACCCGTCCGGCGGCTGCTACATTATGGCCAAATATTGAAAATTACTCCGCCGGAGTAGAATTATCCATTCGCAACGAATATTCATTCATTCGTAATATAATATTTTCATGAATATGTACTTTTTTATGTTTATTTTTCACAAAAAAATAACTTTTACTTAACTTCAGGCACTCACTTAAATTTTGCAAATTAATCTGCCGGAATAGAATTTTTCGTTTGAAACAAACATTATTCAATTCAGAATATATTTTCCTTACAAATTTTAATATCTTTATCTTTATTTTTTAATAAAATATAAATTTTTTACAAAAATTTTTCATCAAATGAATTCGCCGTACTTATGGTTTTTGACACCTACGTCAAGGTATATTAATTATAAGGTAGTGTTAACAGAGCAGCTGATTGTTTTTTGCTAATACACTTTTGATTTTTTTATATGTAGTTTGACAGTGTTCTGGCACTTTGAAGTGTAGGCATGCTGTCAAACTCCGTATATAAAAAATAAAATGAATTCGCTCCGTATTTCTGAATTCGCCGACGACACTACCTTATAATTAATATATCTTGGGTGATACCAAGTCAGGTAATGTTCGTTTTGTTGCTAACTTTGAGCATTAACCTATTAGATCCCAACCATCTTAAAATCAATAAATGTAAATTATTTATTTAATTTAAAATAAAATTGAACAAAAAAATTATAAATTTTGAAAATGCGATTTTTGGCCTGTACTCGGATGGGTACGGAGGGACAATATGGGTATAAATACAAATAAATAAAAAAATAAAACCAATTTTTATTTTTTTTTTCAAAATTTTGGTATTTTCCTACATAAAAAATCGAATCAATTGGAGTTGAGATTTTTTCCATTAGATTAATTCAGTGCACTTTTTCGACTCATTATTGATATTTGTGCTAAAATAAATTAATTAAAATTCATCAAATGGGATGTATTTTTCACTGCCATGTTGTCTGGTAGATTCTCCAGTAATTAAGTGTATTCATTAATTTCTTGGAAATATTTAAAAAATAATGAAAAATTTAAATGTGAACTGATTTTATTATAAAGATAATCAGTAGCACCTGTCAGGCTTCTAAAATTTTTACCAAAAGTGTCATAAACATCCTTAAAAGATGATTAAGATATACCCAGTGTGCTGTGCTACCCTAAACACAATATAAATTCAAATTCCAATTTACGATTTTTGAGGATTCTTGCTCTATTTTTTGTATTTGATTCATGTGGGGACACCAGACAACAATTGTAATTTTACCAATTTTTACCAAACGTTAGTATGGATTTTAACGCTACCCATGCAAAATTTAAAGATTCTAGCTCTAATAGTTTTACTGACATACGAATTTTGTATTACATTAATAGCAGATGTCAAGTCTCCTAGTCCGCCCATTTTTTCTCTCTCTTTCTCTCTAAGAATTTCTCAAATATAAGAATTTATGTATTTATATGTTACAAACCAACAATTAGAAGATTCTACTTCTACCCAGCAAAATCTTCAATTACCCGGTAAGTAGACAAGTAATATTGGAGCAAAGTGTAAGTACTTTCTTTTTGGGTGAATAACTACTTATTTTTGTTTGACGATGACCAAAAATAACTGGTTACAAATGTGCTCACCCGTCTTTTCCGGATATAAAACCTGCCTTACAGTTATTTTCTGTGTTTATTAGTCTATTCTATTACCCAATGCTCCATTAACAAGTTGTTTGATCGTGCTATTTGGAATAGTTTTTACACAAAGGTACAAATCAATATGTCTTCAAAAATCTTCTAATATCGACTATGTTTAAAACCATTAAATAATTCCTTATTATACATACGCTTTATACATCTAGCTAAAATAATTTTATTAATAAAGATCACTCATTACCAAGTAATGTGTGAAATAACTACATTACCTACAATACTCATTACCAAAATTTGAAAATATGTTACCGGGTAATAGTTTCCCAAATATACAATTTTTTTATTTAATTTATATTGGAGCTAAACGAATTCCAACTCTTATTTTGGAGATTTTTTGCTTTTTGTTTTTACTTTGTAAAGAAATTGACAGTTGTTCAATAACAGAATTGAACATACACACAAATAAAATAGAGAATTTTATTTGTACTTATGTGTTGGTTGGCTTGTAGGGTATAAAAACACTATATTTATTTTATTTTTTTATTTAATTTATATTGGAGCTGAAATGCCCCCTATTGCTAGTCCTTCAATGTATTTCCCCAATATAAACATGGATGTCAAAGATTTTCCTGCTAAATTTGAGGATTATAGTTCTAATAGTTTCTCAGATATAAGAAATTTTGTATTTAATGTATATGGGGTTCTAAAACTCCCGCCCATTTTCGGTCCACATTTACACATAGACGTGAAAGTCCGTGCTAAATATTAAGATAATGCAAGATAATCGAATTTATGTATTTAATCCATAGTGGCCGTGGTACTCCCTATTGTTATGTTAGCCCACCCATTTTTTTATAAATACACTAAAATGGTTTCGACAAAATTTGAGAACTCTAACTCTTATATTTTCTCAGATATAATAATTTAAAATTTTCTTTATATGGGAGGTACTGCCCCTATTTCTAGTCCGTCCATTTTCTCACAAATGTTCATGTGGATTTCAATGTTGTTCGTTCAAAATTTAGAGGTGGAATTTCTAATAGTGAATGGAACTTTTATCAAAAAAGTCTAAAAAAAAATTATTTGTGAGATTGGTTTTTAATGAGTTAATGAATGGGGTCATATTATTGGAAAGGTATTTCAAAGCTCTTTCAAACGATATTTATATCGCCCGGATCGGTTCAGGAATAGCAAAGATTTTGCATAAACGTATATAAACTTTAAAGGTCTATAACACAAAAACTAAAAAAATGGTGACCAAAAGACTTATATTAAAAATCATAGAATCAAAAGTTTCATAGGCTTTCAAGATTGGAGAGTTATATATATTGTAAATATAAGCCCATGTGTTTTATATTTAACTCTGTTTTTCTTAACAGCAGCTGGTCAGCTATAACATGAATAATAAAATGTAAATTAAATTTTACCTATGTGGCAACGTTGCTGGTAAACAATAAACTTTGCGTAGATTTGGCTGCACTCTATTGTTTCAGTTATTCCAAGAATACACCAGAAAAAGCAAGCACAATATAGACAAACATAAATAATATTATGTTTTCTCTTTTTAGCTTATGTATTTTGTGTCACTAATTTAAAGAACGAGGTAAAACATTTTTGCATAGCAGGCTATGCCATTCACTATGGCTACCACAACGTTTCACTAGTCTAGGATTTTGTTAAAAAAGGAAAATATTCGTGATTTATTAAAGTTGTGAGGATAAAAACAAAAATGTGATATTCTTTCTTTCAGTGCAATTTTATAAACAACTTTTTGTTTTCCCATAAAAATAAAATAAATTTTGAGAGACCTTAGTCATTGTGCGGCGACAAACATTTTTAATGTTGTAATATCTGTTTTTTGTTGTAATTACACACATTTTCAATAAATTAACCATCTATTGGGAAATTGTATGAAATTGTATTGTTAAGCAAACATTTTTATAAACAAATTTGAAATAGTTCTAGGATATGTTTGTTCATATTGTATGTTAAGGTAAGCGCTCTCTTGCGGTCTAAATTAAATAAGTATGGTGTTTTAATTTGTGAAAAAGTGATTAAAGTTGAATATTTTGACAAAAAATTAATCGAAAGTCAAATGAATTGATTTTTTTATTGCAGCTTTTAAAGCCATCCAACAACAATAAATCTCACGGATACACATCAATAAAAACATAATTTGTTGTGAGTTATATCTGGAAAATAGTCATAAAACGTCATTGCTTATTATTTTGCCATTAGTGCCTGAAACATACGTTTTTCCAATTCAAATCTAATTGATGAATTCTATAGTGATACCTCCTCTGTAACATCATTCAGTAAAAAAGTTGACATTTCATGCCGAAAATACTATATATATCCAAAAATATATATAATTGACATTCCAAAAGTTCTATTATTTATGTACCTACATAAATTATTATCATATACTAATACCTATGAAGGACGACAAATGAACTAGATCGCAATTTTGTTTAATCGTAAGCGAGCGAGATATAGGATATATATTTGAAATAGACTCATATATATCGACATACACATAATTGGGTTGAAGACTATAAATGAACAATAAGCATATACTTGATCTTACTTTTCGATTATCTCAATCTCTCGATCAGAACTATGATGTAAGGATAACGTTGGTATATTTTTTTGTTGTTTTTTCTTAACAAATATCGATTTTGCCGTTGTAGGTCGTTAGTATGGAGACAGTTTTGTCGGTCATTTCGGCGCTGGAGGGAACAACGATTACAAAGGAACAATTGGAAGCCACCAGATTGGCCAAGTACATTAATCAATTAAGAAGACGTACAAAATGTGAAAACTTAGCTCGCCGTGCAAAATCTTTACTGAAAAAATGGCGGGAAATGGTAGGAATACAACAGTCTAGTGAATCATCATCAGCGGCGGTAGGTTCAGGCGCAGTAACTGCAACTGGGCCCACTGTGAGTAACCCTATTTCCACAACAACCGCACCTTATAATATGCCAGTCACCGACAATGCAGTTTCTACGTCTCATTTAAAAAATCCTCAAATTAGCCATCAACAACAAAACAGACAAAATCAATATGCAACTAGTGTGAAACAACATCAAATTCAACAACAGCCTTATCATTCACAACCATCCTCGCCTGTAAATCTTCAAGATAAATCCAATCCCAATGAATATTTAATTTCAATGTCCAACCCTGCGACCGGTTCACAGGTGACAAAAAGCTCAATAACAAATATACGTAAGAAAAAAAGACTTGAAAAAAGTTTAAATAACGATTTAATAATTCAGCACCAACCGAAACAACAACCCACAAGTTTTGCCAATTTAATTACTGGTTTAGGTAATACATTTCCTTCAGAACGAAAAACTCCACGGGAAAAATCCGAAACTGTTGCATCGACCGTAAAACCAGTAGAAACATTTATAATCGAACACTCATCAAATTCGAATTCCGATTTAATATGTTTACCATCCAACAATACTGTTAGTAATTTTACCTCAGCAACTGATGTTCCTCCCGTTGTAATTGATTTACAAGATACCAATTCTAGTATGACTTCATTAGTGTCAAAAGATGTAACAAATGTATCCTCGTCGTTCTATAAAACAAAAACTTCTACAAAGAAATCAAAGAAAGAGAAAAAACGCAAAGATCGTAACGTCACGTCACGTAAAAATCAATCGATACAAGACTGTGAAGATCAAAATACAACAACTGCTTCCTATCAGCATAAACGGGCATCTGATGTATTACAACTAGATGAAAAGTCACATTCTGCCTGCCCTACAATATCAAATATATCTGGTATGTATAATTTCATGATATTATTTTAAATTAATAATAAACAAGTAAGGGAGTTATATTCGGCTGTGCCGAATCTTATATGCCCTTCATTCACCATAGCCTTTTTAATTATTATTTTTTTAATTTTTTATTTTTTTTATTTATTTATTATTAGTAATATAAAGCCATACCGGCCAAAATAACAATATTACGCAGTAAAACATATATCTGAAATAATACAAACATTTTGATTAATATGCAAAATATAAAAATTATTAATTAATTACAAAATTATTTTCAGTATTATTTTTCAACACGTTTACATACTTTAAATTTTCTAATTTTTTCTTTAAATTTTCAAAATACATATTTGCAATTTCTTTGTTATAAATAAGCAAATGCAATTTTCTCACAAACAATCCGTACCTTGTTGTTTACTTGCGCCTAAATGCACAACAATTCTAATTATTTGACGAAATTTTTAGAGGTTGTCTTGGATTTTTGCTCATATCTGATATATATGGACCTATTTTGCTGATTTTAAATAGGAAACATCGAAAGCATATCTGATAGAATGTTTGAAAATTTAGGTGCCTAAGATATCTGTGGGTCTTCAGAAAATTGATTTCAACAGACACACACTGACAGACAGATAGACATGGCTTAATCGTCTCTGCTATCTATAAGGTTCCATAATATACAATAGCGAGCACAAAATATGCAACGCGTGACGATATGATCTTCGATTTCGTCTGTTTCGAAATAACGGTAATGAATCCATCTCTTCTTTTTGCTGTTTATTCTCTTAACTCTGGGCTTCCAAACAAGCGAAATTTTGTTTCAATTTCTATTACGCAAAGTGAAATATTTTATATTTGCTGAAAAAAGTGAACTTTTTTCGCGAGCACAAAAAATGCAACGCAATAAAATAACAGTAAATTTATGATTTTTATTGCGTTTTGAATGAAAGTTTCTTGAAGAAATTAAACAATACGAATATTATAATAGTAGTAATTATTATCTAATCAAAAAGAACTATTATTAAAGCTCTAGAGAATAAGAATCCATGCTTGAAATTGGTTCGTTCTTTTGAGTGAAAAATTTGGCGTAAATCGATATGAATCACGATTTCACTTCAGAAAAAGCATGGAAAGGGAACAGATAGTGGTTGTCTATGGAAAACTTCCACTTTTAAAGACCGTCAGGTGGACGTTGCTAGTTTCACAAAGGAGCATATGGGTGACTCTATTGGAGTTCACATTGCTCGCGGACGTTTTAATAAAGTGTAATTTGCTTGGAAAACATTTTACTAAGGAACCATTCATCAGTAGAGTCAAGAAAAACAAGCCCCGTTATTTTGCGAAACGTATCAGCATTGGTCAAGTGAACAGCGGGTTAAGGTCTTATGTGACGACGTGAGCAAATAAAATTTATTTGGCTCCGATACCATAAATTTCTTACTAGATGGCCTAGACAAAGACAATATATTCGTCTAATAGTCACATATGTCGAAAAATCCATTTTGGAGTGGTTCAAGAAGCGAGATTTTCGCAATGAAATCACTGATTATATGTCAAGCATTTACAGTACCACCTGACCAATGCTTAACACATTTCTCAAACTCAAAGCGGTACTTTTTATTGACTCTACTAATCTGGGATTTCTTTGTGAATCATTTTCCAAGCAAATTACACTTTGTTAAACCTTCTGCGGGCAATTTGAACTCCAATAGAGTCACCCATATGCTCCTTTGTGAAACCAGCAACGTCCACTGACATCTTTCGTGAGGCGATTTTGAACAATTTAATCATGTGACGGTCTCTAAAAGTGGTAGTTTTCCAAAAATGACCACTATCTGTTACCTTTCCACGCTTTCTCTCAGGTGAAATCGTAATACAGATCGATTTACGTCAAATTTTTCACTCAAAAAACAAACCAATTTCAAGCATGAATTCTTATCCTATAGAGCTTTAATAATAGTTATTTTTTGATTAGATAATAATTACTACTATTATAATATTCGTATTGTTTAATTTCTTCAAGAAACTTTCATTCAAAACGCAATAAAAATCATAAATTTACTGTTATTTCATTGCATTGCATTTTTTGTGCTCGCGAAAAAAGTTCACTTTTTCCAGCAAATATAAAATATTTCACTTTGCGTAATAGAAATTGAAATAAAATGTCGCTTATTTGGAAGCTCTGAGTTAAGAGAATAAACAGCAAAAAGAAGAGATGGATTGATTACCGTTGTTTCGAATCAGACAAAATCAAAGATCGTATGACCCCGCGTTGCAATTTTTGTGCTCGCTACTGTATATACAGTGATGTTCAATGAAATAGAGCAACCATCACGTTCAAAGTTTCTCTCCACGTAAAATCTCTCCTACAAAGAATAGAGTTGGAAAAAATAACTGAAATTTTGTATTGATCTGCTAAGAATATAATATCAATATTTTTTCAATAATTTACGTCGCTACTCGTAATTTTAATGTAATTTTAAATTAAGCTATATAATAAAATAAAGCCAGTTTGCAAAAATATAAAAATTTAACAATTGACAGACAATTTTCAAAAATTTTGAATGTTGTAATATCAGTTTTTTGTTGTAATTACACACATTTTCAATAAATTAACCAACTATTGGGAAATTGTATGAAACTGTATTGTTTAGCAAACATTTTTATAAACAAATTTAAAATATATCTAGGATATGTTTGTTCATATTGTATGCTAAGATAAGCGCTCTCTTGCGGTCTAAATTAAATTAGTATGGTGTTTTAATTTGTGCAAAAAGTGATGAAAATTAAATATTAAAAAAAAAAAAAAATGAATCGGAAGTCAAATGAATTGATTTTTTTATTGCAGCTTTTAAAGCCATCCAACAACATCAAATCCTACGGATACACATCTCAATAATAACATAATTTATTGTGAGTGTTTGAGTTTGTAAAAATATAAAAATTTAACAATTTTCAAATTGAAATCGATCCAAATAGTATAGCTTTTTATTATAATTCTAAAAGATTCTCATTAAAAAATTATAATTATGAGTTCTAGGGAAGGGCTATAGACAAATTGATGAAATAATTGGGTGTACCAAGAAAGTGATAGAAGATAAGATGCTGTAAAATATGAATTCAATCAAAAAATATAGAGGAAAAAATGAAAAATTATTCCTTTTTTGAAGCGAAAAATTCTGACTCATGCAGAGGATGACACTTTTGTGTGCTCCGTGTACCCTTAAAAGGGAATATAACTTAGATGTTGCCAGCTTAATAGTAAGATCTCTCATGTATTAAAATAATATAAAGGATAAAATTAGTTGAAAAGTATTATATGGTACTTTAAAGATCCTGAAGGAAAAAATAAATTTTCTCAAAAACATTTGAAATTTCTCCTTGAGCAGGAATCGAAATATTTTGTGGTCAGATGTAAAATATCTATTTATTTAATTCTGATATGATCCGTATAGCTGTACGTAGACGTTTCAACATTGGATTTTGTCCCCAATGTACTATAAATATCATTGTTCAGCTCCAACAAGATTCCCAAAATTTTATATAAAAATAAAACAAAGAATATTTCAAATTTATTAGAGATGAAGATCTCTTTTTATTTAAAAAATACTACCTCGTAGAAGTAGATGGTTTTTAAATGTAATATGCACGTAGTGCTTGTGTCGTAGACAAATCAAAAGTAATTTATAATGTCAAACGAAACAAGCATAAATTTGGTGCCAAACGAAACAAGCATATATTTGATGGCAAACAATATTTAAGCACCGTTAGCGGTTTCTCGTTGGAATCTTCCAACAAAGTTGCAAAAAAAGGGAAGCTTTATAGGATTCTAACGTTGTTATAAATAGTATTTCAAAAAGGTAGTTAAATCAATTTTAACTTAACATTGCCGGCCACCTTGCAATACCTTAGGAATAGCAAACGATTTTAAAACGATGTAGATTTTTAAGAACTCTCGACTTTCCCCACAGAACCTAAGTCCCGCAGGTGGATTTTTAAAAAGTCTCTCGACTTTCCCCACAGAACCGAAGTGCCGCAGGTGGATTTTTAAGAAGTCTCTCTACTTTTCCCACAGAACTCCCGCAGATGGATTATTATTTAATATAAGTAATATAATATATATAAAGATAATAAATAAGAAGGTAAAAACATTAATAAGGTAGTAGGAACATAAATATATTTCTGTGAGTGATAATAAATTAATGGTTAAAAAGCGTTAGACCACGTAGAATACGTTAAATTGTCGATATATGTTTCGAAGTCCCTAGGATTAGCTGGACCTGTCAGTATCCAACCAAATATAGTTTTCTGTGCCCATAATGACCCTAATATGTTTTGTTGTATTTCCGGTAAAATAATGCGAGAATATAAATCTGCTCCAATAAGAATATATACAGGTCTACTAGTAAAAAGAATCAGCCAAACAAAGATTTGGCAATATTTTTTCAATATCGACATTTACAGAAGTCGAACGCAAATTTCCTGTTATTTCTGGTAAAACAAATGCGTTAGTTGATAATTTTATTGAAGAATCTAAATCTGAACAAATTTCCAAAGGACAAAATTTTGTAACTCCAAAAACGTTAGAATTCGCAGAATGAGTGGGAAGTTTTAATCTTTTTCGTAAACGTTTAGAAATGAAAGAACATTCTGAGCCCGAATCTATTAAAGCACGGACCTGATACTTATGGTTGTTATGAATTATGTTTACCATTGCAGTCCCTATCAAAACGGACTGATTCTGTCTAGTATGAAATACTTGAGGATTGTATACTGCAGATGAAGCATAGAATGATGTCGATTTTTGCAAATAAAACAGTTATTATTGATCGTACAACTTCTGACATTATGTGTCCTCGAAAGGCAATTAGTACAGCAGTTATAATCATTCACACTAGAAATTCTTTGTTACTGAAAGATTTTTAAATCGACGACAATTTCGCAAATAGTGAGACTGATTAGGGCATAAGATACATGAAGGTTTAGTAATAGTAGAACTAT